ATCCTTGGAAAAGAAAAAAAATTGGTGAACACTGGAAGGGTACTGTTTTCAATTGGATCACTCAGATCTTCTCTTTGGATTGTTTGCCCTCATCTTTAAAGGGATAATCTAGTTTTTTCTTAACCCTGGGGTCCGTGACTCTTGGCCATTTCTGAACCTTATTAAATAATACGCAAAATGTGTATTCTCGGAAAGGCTTCATAGCTTTCATTACATACAAAGATATCCACGTGGAGCATAATTTGGGTAGATCATTCTGCATATACCTTTTTAAAATTGTGTGCGACATATTATTACTGCTGTGTATTAATATTGAAGTAAACTGTAGAGTTGTCTTCCTCTTGGCCATTTCTGAACCTTATTAAATAATACGCAAAATGTGTATTCTCGGAAAGGCTTCATAGCTTTCATTACATACAAAGATATCCACGTGGAGCATAATTTGGGTAGATCATTCTGCATATACCTTTTTAAAATTGTGTGCGACATATTATTACTGCTGTGTATTAATATTGAAGTAAACTGTAGAGTTGTCTTCCAGAACCAGTTTTGAAAGATGAAAGTGGATTTCTTTGATTTGTTGAGATTGTCAGAATGCTTTGTTTGGTGGATATAGCACTAGATTATGCTACCTGCATTTCCCTTTAGTAAAACCAAATGAGTTGATCTTGGGCCAGTTAAATTATTCTGCCTCACTTGACTTTTAAATATTTGTAAATGAAGATAATGGTTATTTTATTTTATTTATTTTTTTAAATATATTTTTATTTCAGAGAGGAAGGGAGAGGGAGAGAGAGCTTGAAACAAATATGATGGGAGTGAAAAATGTATTGGCTACCTCCTGCATGCCCTCTACTGGGGATTAAGCCTGCAACCCGGACATGTGCCCTTGCCCGGAATCAAACCCAGGGCCCTTCAGTCCACAGGCCGATGCTCTATCCACTGAGCCAAACCCGCTAGGACGAGATAACGGTTATTTTAATTTCCTAAAAATGATCTAAACATCAGTGAGTAATGAAAATTATTGAACTTTTTCAAGAAAGGACCTATCTGAATATAAAATGTTAATTGTCTCCTTAGGGTGTCCTTCTGTGCTGAACATGCCCGTAGGAACGCACTGGCACTTCATGCTCAAATGAAGAAGGCCACTCCAGGGCCTGTGGGTGAAGCACTCTTGTGCCAGCTGAGCTCGTATGCTAAGACAGAGCTGGGGCCTCAGACTCCGGAAAGTAGTCGCAGTGAAGCCAGCCGAATTCTGGGTAAGGATATTCTCTCCTAGAATGAAAAAGGAGGAAGAAAGGTAACAAGAACTTACTGGTTTTAGCACAGTATATGGTACTTGATAATAGAATACTATTAATTCATTAGAGGCCCAATGCACGAAATTTGTGCAAGCCAGGCTTCCTTCCCTGGACTTCCCTCCGGCCCTCGGCAGGCACCCAGGATTGGGGCTTCCCTCCTAGCGCTGGCTTTGTCCGGAAGGTCGTCCAGTCTAATTAGCATATTATACTTTTATTGTTATAGATTGGCAAATTGTTGAGATTCTAGGATTGCTATGTTATTTACCAATTCTTTTCAGTTTGAAGTAGTGTGCTGTGCAGAGCCAGCACAGCCAAGGGTTTTGTGAGCCTGAGGCGTGTGTGTGTGGGGGGGTACTAAGGTTTAAAGAAAAGACAGATAAAGAGAATAAGCTAGGGCTCAGTGGATCTCCTGTGCCTGGCTGAGGCCACAGAGCCAGATCCAGAGGGCAAGTGGATGCTAATTTTATAGCGGGAGGTAAACAAGGTAGTGGTCACCATAGTTCCAATGTTCTTGTGAGTTTCACTTGTTTTGGCAGCAGTTGCTGCACCTCCCACAGCCCATTAGCTACCTAGGATGGATCTAGGGAGCTTCATAAGGTCAAGCCCAATTATGCTAAGAGGGCTGTGCCCCCTAAGCTGGGACTTGTTTGTGGCTTTGCCAACACTTCAGTCCCTATAGCCACGCCCTAGAGTGTGCTTAGGTTTACTTTCCTGAGTTTATGACTGTTTTCTTAATGGCTCTTTTTATACATACCATTTTTGCTAGGTAAGGTAATTTTAGGAAACAAAAATAACTTTGAGTTGGACCTTGTCTGTTTGAGGGCATGGTTAACTCAATTTTAAGATTTTGGTTAATGTGTTAAGTAACCTAGTTTTGTGTGGCGGAGTTACAGAGGTGGGAAGTCTTAATGGCTGCTGTCCCTTCCTTGCCTCAGATGAAGACAGCTGGAGTGATGGGGAGCAGGAACCCATTACTGTGGATCAGACATGGAGAGGTGACCCTGACAGTGAAGCTGATAGCATAGACAGTGATCAAGAAGATCCCTTGAAGTAAGTTGTAATTCCACATAGGCTTTTAAATATTTTATGTAGTTAGTACATGGAATGTAGTACTGCATACTGTTAAAAGATTAATAACCTAAAAGGGCTGAAGAAAGCTTAGCTGTTTGTGAGCAGAAACAGATTCTGTAAATTAAAGTGTCATGATTCATCATCATTTCACTTTGAAGCAGGATTTGATTCTTTGTTAGAGGTCTTGTAATTTGGGAAAACTTTTGGACATCTAATTCTACACCTGAGTAAGTATAGGAGAGAAAATAGGAAATTTCTTGGACATAGGAGAGTTGAGAAATGCTTAGATCAGTTAGAGAAGAGGAAATTAATGTGAATTCTTTATTTATTTATTTATTTATTTTTAAATATACACAGGCCGACGCTCTATCCACTGAGCCAAACCGGTTTCCGCTGAATTCTTTTTTTAAAATATATTTTTATTGATTACAGAGAGGAAGGAAGAGGGGGAGAGAGATAGAAACATCCATGATGAGAGAGACTCATGGATCAGCTGCCTCCAGCAAGTCCCCCACTGGGGATCAAACCCACAACCCACACATGTGCCCTTGACAGGAATCGAACCTGGGACCTTTCAGTTCGCAAGCCAACACTCTATCCACTGAGCCAAACTGGCTAGGGCGTGAATGCATTCTTGGCGTAAACCTCAGGAATAATAAAGTGATTGTATTTGAAAAACTACATTTGCAAAGTTACATCTTAAGGGTTTTTTTTTTTTTTTTTAAGAAAAATAAAAAGATGTTTCAAGAATATCCTTTGGTTTCATGCCTAAGAGAGAGAAACTGATTTAGAAACCAAGATGTGAGTAATCAGTCTAATTATATCTTACTGTGGTTTCTCTCTTCACTGAACCCATATTCATTTTAGGAGTTGTAGAAACATAAAAGCATTCAGGATTGCTCCTCCTCTAAGTCTCATATTGCTATGTCTCATGGTTTAGTTTAGTTTGCGTTTTTTTTTTTTTTCTTTTCTGACTTATGTTTCTTAGCACTTCACACTGACAATTTAGGTCAATGGTTCTCAACTTTGGCTGCACATTAGAATCACCTGGGAATCTTTTTAAAATCCTGATTTCAGCCGAAACCGGTTTGGCTCAGTGGATAGAGCGTCGGCCTGTGGACTGAAAGGTCCCAGGTTCGATTCCGATCAAGGGCATGTACCTGGGTTGCGGGCATATCCCCAGTGGGGAGTGTGCAGGAGGCAGCTGATCGATGTTTCTCTCTCATCGATGTTTCTAACTATCTCTCTCCCTTCCTCTCTGTAAAAAATCAATAAAATATATTTTAAAAAAAATAAAATCCTGATTTCTAATGTACAGCCAAGGTTGAGAACCACTGATTTATGTGGAAGGATGTAAATAATGGAAGGAGTAATGAATTTCTATTAATTTTTTACAGAGAGGAAGGGAGAGAGATAGAGAGTTAGAAACATAGATGAGAGAGAAACATCGATCAGCTGCCTCCTGCACACCTCCCACTGGGGACCTGCCCACAACCAAGGCACATGCCCTTGACCGGAATCGAACCCGGGACTCTTCATTCCGCAGGCCGACGCTCTATCCATTGAGCCAAACCGGTTTCGGCTGAACTTCAAGTCTTAGAGTTTTCTTCATTACCTTGGATTCTGAAGTTTATTAGAAGTCATTTAGGGTTACATTTTTTCTGAGTAGATTTTAATCTATTTCTCTTGAGTAATTTCAGTGTAGTTAGCAATTCCGAAATACTCTTTTGGAAAGTCCATCTAAGTAGTTTGAGAAGGAATGCTTGTTTTCTTTCACAGTAATTTTATATCAAGCATATTTTTTATTTTATTTTTCATTGTGCTTTTGTAAATGCCAAACTTGCTGCATTGAAGAGGTGTGTGCTGTCTAGGGTCACAAAGTTTTTTAAAGGTCCAGAAACTTGATTTTATTAATAATCTAGAGATCAGTGTCTAGGGGATACAGTCATATGAATATAACTTACAAGAGATTACTTTATCAACCAAAATATCAGTTATGTGAGAAATATGTGTTAAAAGGATTAGGTACTCAATGTCAGTTTCTCCTAAAAGGAACATCCAAAGGGAAAAATAAAGGTCCAAATATGTGCAGCAATTAGGCAATGAAATACAAGGCTGTTATATACATTTTATTGATTTCAGAGAGGAAGGGAGAGGGAGAGAGAAACATCAATGATGAAAGAGAATCATTGATCGCCTGCCTACTACTGGCTATTGAGCCAGCAACCCGGGCAAGTGTCCTTGACTGGAATCGAACCTGGGATCCTTCATCCACAGGCCGGTGCTCTATCCACTGAGCCAAACTGGTTAGGGCGAGGGCAAGGCTTTTTTTAATCCTACGAGAAACATTATCCAAAATAAATTTAGGCTCTTTAAAATATATGCATTTTTAGGAATGTAAATAGAGTTGGTAAATGTCTGCTAATAATTTATTAATATGGTTACATATTACTATCTTGTTATATATATATTTTAAAATATATTTTTATTGTGAATTTCAGAGAGGAAGGGATAGGAAGGGAGAGGTAGAAACATCAATGATAAGAGAATCAGCACGCTCCACACTGGGAATTGAGCCTGCAAGTGCCCCTACTGGGAATCAAACTGACCTCCTGATTCATAGGTTGACATTCAACCACTGAGCAACGGTGGCTGGGCTATCTTATATTTAATACAAGTGTTTATTTAATGAAATTCTTTTAAAATTCTTTTTTGGTGTCAGTGTTGGTCATAACTGGGGCCACTTTTTGAACCATTAACAATTTACAGCATATATCTTCACTTGATTGTTTTAGAAAGGCTACTATTTGTATTTTTGATGATGTCATTAGAGATTTATCCTAACTACAATTACTGTTGTCATAGTCATCGTCCCCCCACAACCCTTTGTAGATATATATCTTTGTGATTTGCCTCAAAGTAACCATTTACTTAATTGCTTTATAAAAAGTAATCTTTAAAAGCTCATTTATAGCAGTATCTAGGACTGATGAAGTTTCAGCTTAAGAATAATTAGTAAATTTTTCTTTAACTTTTTATTTTATTTTTTTATTTTTCTTCTTTAATCCTCACTTGAGGATATATTTTCACTGATTTGACACACAGAGAGAGAGAGAGAGGGAGACAGACACATCAATCAGTTTCTTTTTTTTATGTAACAACTTGAATGGTAAAAAGATTCCTGTTAATAAGGTGATTGTATCAGCACTGACTGCTTATTAAATATCGTCTAATATCTATCTTTTTCTCTTTTTATTTTATTTATTTATTTATTTATTTCTGTGGTAGGCAGAACAATGCCCCTCTCCCCCTTTTTAAACTTGGGTTTTATTATTGTGTTTTCTTATGCACTGCTGGGAATTTTCTATTCCAGACATGCTGGTGTCTACACAGCTGAAGAAGTGGCTCTGATTATGCGTGAGAAACTAATTCGTTTACAGTCTTTGTACATTGACCAGTTTAAACGGCTTCAGCATCTGCTCAAAGAGAAGAAGCGTCGTTACTTACATAATCGGAAAGTGGAACATGAAGCTCTAGGCAAGTTGCAACAACCTATTGTATGTTCAACATGTGAACCCACATGTTGTTAGTAGTTACATTTATCTCTGTTGGTATCTGGAGTGGAGGAGACAGGTTTCTGATTTGCTTTTGAAACTGCCCATCTTTTGGCCCAAGATTTTTCTGTTCACTTGTTAATTTGGAGACTAGCCCTTGTTTGGTTTCTTGGCAAATAACATCTTGACTGTTGTTGACTCTCCAGGTAGTAGTCTCCTGACTGGCCCAGAGGGACTATTGGCCAAAGAACGAGATAACTTAAAGCGTCTAAAATGTCTTCGGAGGTATCGTCAGCGCTATGGAGTAGAAGCCTTACTACATAGGCAGCTGAAGGAACGCAGAATGCTGGCCACAGATGGTGCTGCCCAACAGGTAATTTGTGTCTATACTTGTAAGGTTTATAAATTTGCTTCCTTTATAAAGTAATTGTCCAAGCACTGTGGTACAGTCTTGGCTCTGACATCTGACTTACTGGACGTGGGGTATATTGAAAAGAGCACTTAGCCCTAACCGGTTTGGCTCAGTGGATAGAGCGTCGGCCTGCGGACTCAAGGGTCCCAGGTTCAATTCCGGTCAAGGGCATACACCTTGGTTGTGGGCACATCCCCAGTAGGAGGTGTGCAGGAGGTAGCTGATGGATGTTTCTAACTCTCTATCCCTCTCCCTTCCTCTCTGTAAAAAATCAATAAAATATATTAAAAGAAAAAGGAAAAGAGCACTTACCTGGAAGTCCGGAGACGCAGGTTCTAGTCTCAGTTTTCTTCTGACCAGTACTGTGCCTGCGCTGGTAACTTCTCTGGGCCTCTATTCCCATCTGCAAATTGAGGGGTTGCCACAGATTTCTCAGTTCTTTGGTTCAGAAATAGGCAGGTTAAGCCCACTTTCCTTGGGAATCGTGTTTTAGAAGGCAGGAAAATAGGTAGAATAATAGGAGCAATGAATGTTGGGAAGTAAGGTTGATAGGAGTAGAATTAAGTGATCACTTAAATTTTTTTCTCAGGCCCTTGGTCTCTGCTTCAATAAGAGTAATTTCATTTTTGTGTTTTATTTGTTGAAGTTTCACATAAGATTACAATTTCGAGAAGGGTTCTGCTAAAAGATAAAATAGCTTGAAAATCATTAGTCTATGTCGCACGTTCAGAATATGGAGGGGTAAGATTCAAATTAGGGTTGATTCATTTGTACATGAGATTTTAAAAATTATTTTTTTGCGTCGTATTGGTGAATACATTTAAATGTTGAATTTTTTAGCTTTTAAAGATGTACCTTTCTTATATTTTATAACTAAGTATTCTCATACATAATTGGTTGTATGTTCTTTTGTGGGCGTATTGGTTGTGTGTTTTTATTTGTTTTTTTACTTACCTGTTTTTTTCCATTTTAGGCCCATACCACTCGTTCCAGTCAGAGGTGCTTGGCCTTTGTGGATGATGTTCGTTGTTCTAATCAGTCTCTTCCAATGACCAGACACTGCATTAATCGTATCTTTTTACTTTGTTCAGTTGGCTAGCTAGACCGAAAGGCTAGTGGGAGACACTGATAGTTGCTCAGTTGAAGGTCTTTGTTATCCTTTGGCCCTGAATCAAGGCCAGCAGTTTGCTGAAGCTGCTGGTTTCAAGCAGGAGCCTAAAGAAATATCTTTCTATGGTCTGTTGGCCATTTCAGAACTTAGGAAATGTAATGGTCAGTTCATTAGAAAGAAACATCTGAGTCATTGGTGATAGATGTGGGCTAATATTTATTTGTAGTCAGTTAATACTGGGATTCCAGATACAGAGGTTCCTGCTTTAACTTGTTTGTTAGAATTATAATACTGTTAAATCCAGTTATAATAAAAAAAAAATTGTGGATTTTCTACCAATAACAAAGGACAATTCTGAACTGTGAGCTTCCTTTGAGTATTATCCATTTGTATGGTTAGTGCTCTTAACTTAGACTTCATTCAAATTGGAAACTTACTTTTTCCAAAAATTGGATAATTACTCCCCGGTTAATTTGCTTTTGAACCATCAGAGCATCATTTGAATCTGCTGTAGGACTATATTTACATAGTACCAAACTGTACTGTTTATTGTGAAAGTACATTTTATATGGACACTGATTGAGAAAGCGACTTTCACTGTAAAAACTTTTTTTTAAAATATATTTTATTGATTTTTTACAGAGAGGAAGGGAGAGAGATAGAGAGCTAGAAACATCGATGAGAGAGAAACATCGATCAGCTGCCTCTTGCACATCTCCTACTGGGGATGTGCCCGCAACCCAGGTACATGCCCTTGACCGGAATCGAACCTGGGACCCTTCAGTCCGCAGGCCGACGCTCAATCCACTGAGCCAAACCGGTTTCGGCTGTAAAAACTTTTGTTGAGTCTGATTTTTATTATATGAAAGGCATAAATCTTGCTGGATTTCAGTTGTCTGGCAAGAGATAAAACACTGAAAAGTAAAATATTTTTTCAATAGGAAGAGGAGAACTGACTTTTCTGCTCTTTTTGAAAAATCTTTTACCAATTTATTAATTATTGCAACAACAAATGTCTGCTAAAGGATTGTTGTCCTTAATGTATAAAATCTTGTGCAAAGTAATTAATAACTGAAATTAAATTCTCAAAACTGAATTGGTTAAAGGCAATCTTTGGACAGATTTAAAAAGAAGTAGTTGATAGTTTAATAGTGCTTATTACTGTAAATAAATAGGAAATAAAACAAATGTTTTAATCCATAAGTTTGATGCTTATATATATGATTTTTAATGAGTGAATTTTAAAAGTTGGTGACAGTGTGGTAAAATGGACCCTCTAAGGGCTGCCAGTGGGAACATACAGTGTTATAGGCTTTTTATAAAGCAGTTTGACTATCCATATTCTTTAATATGTTACTATCACCTCTGAATTTATTTAAGGAGATAATTAAATATAGGACCAGTATTACATAAAATTTCTCTAATTTGAGACTTAAAATTTTCAGAGATGAGGAGGGAAAAATTATGATACAAAATAATAGTAATATGTTATCATTAAAAATTTAATAAACTTTATGAATGATTTGGGAAAACATTTGATAATAACAAAAATAGGATATGGGATTCTGTAGGGTATGTTCTAACTACATGGAACTAAATACTAGGAGGAAGTTTAATAGAAATGTGACTATTTTTGGATGGTGGGGTTATGAATGCCCTTTTTCCTCTGCTTTGTACTTCTCAGGTTTTCTTCAATGAGTTTGAATTACTTCATAAGGCAAAAAACTAACTTACAGGTATCAAAGTAGTTTAGACTTTACTTGTAGTATAGGCGTGGGGAACCTTTTCTGCTAAGGGTCATTTGGATATTTATAACATCATTCGTGGGCCATATAAAATTATCAACTTAAAAATTTGCCTGCTTTTGGTTAGCTCTATAATTAACTCACTCCTAATGCCTTGGCAGGCCCAGACCAAATGATTTCGTGGGCCTTTTATGGCCTGCAGATTGGATGTTCCCCACCCATTACAGTACTATACTCAGTTTATTAGAATATTAATATTTTAAAAAGCAAAGTTGAAAATGAAATGTATTTGAAAAGAGAAGTATTTTTTCTTTTGTGTTCTTTTCTTTTTCATTCCATAGTTGCCTAAGTCACTTACCCTTCCTTAAGTCCGTATCCCAGAGAAAGATGCGACTGCCATTGGTGACCTGTTAACTCTTTACTCTGGTCTAATGGAGACAGCCCTGGACTGAAAGTAAAGGATGCAGACTCTAGTTGTAGGTCAACCATTCCCTTCTCTTTGTCTTTCTTGTCCCCAGCTGAAAGAAAGGGGTGGATGAGGATGGGGGGAGGATTTTTCCAGGATATGTGGTATTAAATAAGAGATTTATGAAAGTCATTTAAATTCCAAGAAAAATACTGTGATTAAAGCATTTAATGGATTAACATTTTAAATATTAAAAATTTAAATTAGATTGGGGTTTTCTTAAGCACATAGAGACTGCAAATCTGTTCCCATCAGATTCATATGTTTGTTCATTTGATCATTTATTTTCATTTAATAAATATTTATTTATTTTGTACCATTATTCTTTTAGAGTATAGATTCTCATCTGGGGGTCATTTTGACCTGTTTGGCAATGTGTGAAGGTATTTTGCTTGTCATAACTCAGATGGAGGTGCTACTGACATCTAGTGGGTAGAGGCTAAGAATGCTGCTGAACACTCTACAATGCCCAGGACGGCCAGTAATGTCATTAGTGCCAAGGTTGTGAAACCCTGTCTTAGCATCATGAAAGAAATGGTTTTATTAAAGAATTTTTATTTGGTTTAAAAATTACAATGTGCATTAGATTTTTTAGTTTTTAAAAATTACCTTAACATTCCCCCCCCTCCCCAATTTATTTATTAACTAGAGGCCTGATGCACAAAATTTGTGCAAGGGGCTTGGCCTTCGCAGTCCCGGCTTTGTCTGGAAGGTTGTCCAGACGGTCGTCCTGCTGTTTGGTCTAATTAGCATATTAGCTCTTTATTATATAGGAATTATATAGGATTACACTTGACATTCAATAATCCTGGAAACAATCAGCTTATAGAAAATTGTGCTTTTGTACTTAAAAATAAGCCTAAATTTAAAATAGGAAAATAACCATACAGTTAGGATTTTCAGAAATGATAACACTTGTGTAAAATGTGCTTTGTACAGTAACTTGAACTGGAATTTTATTTGATCTGATTATGATTTCAATTTTGATTCATCCTACAGAGCTTCTTTGTCAACTTGGAAATAATCCTTTTCTGCTTCTAGCCTTAACATTGGCTGTCCTGTTAGAGCACCTAGGAGCATTCCTGGATTACTCTCTTTCCATGGGCTTTCATGAAATTATCTCTTTTCTGTTTGGGATAATAAAAGGATTCCCCAACACTCCCCTCCCACCCCCCCCACCCCCCCAAAAAAGGGTATGAAAATGTATTTTTACTTTCTTTCAGGGTATGATAGCTAGTCACTATTATTAGAGCTTCCATTTTCTCCAGTTCCAGTTCTCTGCTGCTTTAAACAATTTTATCATGTAAGCATTTGAAAACAAGGTTTAAAAACTTTGTCAGTCTTAACGGAGCAGAAACAACTTTGTCTCTCTTGAGTCTTGGAAGGGGTTAGTAGAGGCCTCTGCAGACTGTTTACAGTTGTCATGATATCTCTTCTGTGTAAGTGTAGATTCCTAGGATTGTTATTGCTGTATGCTCAGCACTGTGTTTTGAAATGTTTTATAAGGGAGAACAAGATTAGTGTCTAGTTTACATGGCTAGGATCTTGAAATGGAGGTTGGGGACTAGTTTTAAATTATTGATTGAGATAGAATTAGAAAAATTGCTAACTGCATTTTGTTCTGTGTCAATTGTAACCAATTATCTTGTAGTGCAGACCTTGAGTTTTACATGGCAGACACTTGTATTTTGTATCTCCCATAGGTCCATTTTATTTCCCTTGACCATTTTTCTGCAGATATTTGTCAGGACACGAATCAGGTTCTCTTCAAATGCTGCCAGGGGTCTGAAGAGGTACCCTGCAACAAACCAGTTCCTGTAAGCCTCTCTGAAGATCCCTGCTGCCCACTGCATTTCCAGTTGCCTCCTCAGATGTATAAGCCCGAGCAGGTACTGTCTGTGCCAGACGATCTGGAAGCCGGCCCCATGGATCTGTACTTGAGTGCTGCTGAGCTTCAGCCCACTGAGAGTTTACCTCTGGAGTTCAGTGATGTAAGTTAGAGAAGTCTGCTCTGGTTGGCCCTTGAGGCAAGGCCTTATTTATTAACTAGAGGCCCGGTGCACGAAAATTCGTGCACTCAGGTGGGGGGTCCCTCAGCCTGGCCTGCGATTTTTTGTAGACCAGGAGCCCTCAGGGGATGTCAGGCTGATGGCCCAGGCAGCAGTCTGGCCTCCCTCTGTGGGAGGTGACCAGTGGAGCGATCAGGGGATGGCACTGGCCAATACCCCCCCCCCCCAGTCATCCCTCCGACTCCACTGGCTCCACTGGTCACCATCGCCCGCAGGTCGCCGTCTCCTCCCTCTGCCAACTGGTCGTTCTGCAGTTTGGTCGATTTGCATATTAGGCTTTTATTTTTATAGGATGGTGAGAATAGATTAGTCTTTTGTGCTCAGGAGAATTGATAAAGTTTTTGAAATGATATATGCATGTTTGTATGTATATGTTAGCATATTCATTTAGAGACCGTTTAAATAGGCAGAAATTTTTCTGAGGGAATGGTAAGGGAAATTGTAGACTAAGGGAAGTTAGAAAGTCAGGATTATGGTTGGATTTGGTGTAACAGGAAATATGCTACCCATCTGCAAGGTGAGTGAGTCACCAGCATCTTAATACTGAATTCTGATACCTACTTCTGACACTGTAAACTTGTGTTTTGGCTCCATAGTAAGGGGTTTCATTTTCAGATTAATGTGTATCACAAGAAATTACTGTAAACTTAACTTGGTTACTATTTTTCAATTTTGATGTTATTACATAATCCTGTTGTGAATGGACTAGAACAGTGATCTCAGTATTTACTTTGAAATATGTACACTTCTGTCTTTTTTAGCTTGTTTGATTGGCCATAGCACATAAATCCAGCTCAGATTTTGTTTCCCTACTTAGCACTATCCTACTATTTGACTTTAGGGATCAGTTAACATCCCACCTCTGTCTTGGCACTTTGCTTATTAATCTTTAGCCTTCTGGATATAGGTCCTTATTATTAAGATAAGGCTTTTGAATTTCATAATAGAGGTATCTTGTGTCTAACCATGACATGTTTAAGGGGACAAATCTAAATGGGAAATTAGGTGGAAGTAAGTTTTGGGTAGCCTCAAGATTTACTAAAAAAGATACACTAGGTCAGGGTAATATGTGGGGGGAGGGGAGGATGGCATTAATTTTTCCCTCAATTTCCTTTTTAGGATTATATACTGTCAATAGGTGTAAAAAGCATGGTTTTTATAACTTCATTTATAATACAATTTTTGTTATAATCCTGATTATAATTGCTCTTTAAAAAGTTTCTTTAAAAGAAAAAATTTCTTTCACACAGATTCATGGCTTATGAGAACTCGAAAGGGACCTTAGAGATTATGCATTCTGGTGTTTCCCAAACTTTTCTACTGAGATGTTAAAGAGAGTAAATAAGTAACTCTAAATTGAGGGGGACAGATTTTATTTTTTTATTGCTTAAAGTATTACAAAGAGTATTACATATGTCTCCTCGCCCTCCCACTCCCCGACAATCCCCCAGCCTTCTCTACCCCCCAGTGTCTTACGTCCATTGGTTATGCTTATATGCATGCATACAAGTCCTTCGGTTGATCTCTTACTCCCGCCCCCCAACGCCCCCCAGCCTTCCGGCTGTAGTTTGACAGTCTGTTCGAGGCTGCTCTGCCTCTGTCTATTTTTGTTCATCAGTTTATAATGGTCTTTATTATCCATAAATGAGTGAGATCATGAGGTATTTTTCTTTCATTGACTGGCTTCATTTAGCATAATGCTCTCTAGTTCCATCCATGCTGTTGCATATGGTAAGAATTCCTTCATTTTTACAGCAGTATAGTATTCCATTGTGTAGATGTACCACAGTTTTTTAATCCACTCT